CTTTCAAATGTCTATTTTTTACCACAGACGTGTATTATATTCTACGTCTACACTCAGAAGATGACTTCTAGACATTAAATAGTTTTTGGAAAAATATGATTATTAAATTTTATGATAATGTTTAGACATATCAGAGTAGCATATGAGGCAGCAGGGAGTCCTTATGAGAAAGTATAGCCTTGATATATTCAGAAGCCTAGAGATGTTGCAGATTATTGATGAGCCCTCCTTTACGTGATGAAGCCCAAGTACTTGCACAACCCCTCGCGTTATTTTCCCTTTAAGCTATTAGGTACGTGCAGCGAAACTCTGTGCGCTCTCAATGTGTTTACAGGGGCATCTCTAAAGCCTCCATTTGGTCTGAAAGTACAGACTGAAAACTATGCTGTTCATCTGCATTTGGAACTTGGAAAGTTTAACTCCCCTCTGCTTATTAGCACATTTAGTCTTTGAGTATACTTCTGTATCCTAAAATGGACAGAAATAAAATTTAAATTATAAAGGTAAGCTGCAAATCTCCTTTTCCTTCATTAACAAATCAGTCTGGAAATTCAACACTGTCATTCACCTTATAGGGCAGTGACTTTGCAGAGTTTTGGATTAAGAGTCGAGGTCCTGGAAAGATTTAGTTATGTACCTAAGCTTTACCTGCTGACACAGACTTGAACCTGTTCCCAACCTTGAACTGCTGGGAAGCCACGGCTCCTCATAATTGAGGCATGAATCACATAAAATAGGTCTCCTTCCTAGAAATGCCCACTGCATTACTGAACCGAGGGCAAGAAATCTGGACAGCATCAATAAATGCAGAACTGAAAAGGAAGGATTTGATTAATTGACTAAAACATGCCAGGGGGAACCTGAAATAACAAAGAAGGTGGTTTCCATAACTTACCCTGAAGATTTTACACTAACTTAAGGCTTCTCTGTGCATCTCTTTTTTTACTATTATTATTATTTAATAGTTTATTTCCATATTCAAACATAAGGGAATGCTGCTTAAGGGTAATCAGCCAGAAGTTTATCAACAAATCAAGGCTAAAAACTGAAAAATAAGCTCTGTGGTTAGTTAAATATTTAGTTTAGCGAATCATCTCATGTAATCAGGGTTTGTTTAGAGTAACTACAGACAAAAAGTTTATTATCTGTACTTAATTGGCACCTACAACTAAAATTCAAAGTCAAAGCCTTTATTAGCCCCTTGACAGAGCAAGCCATAAATTCTGCAGTCGTCAGGCAAACCGAGAGACTCCATCTCAGTAGTTTCCTAAAGTATCCAAAAATCCTGCAGCTTCTATCGTAGTTCACAGCCACAATTTGATCTCTGCCAGCCTTGCCTCGTGTTCCAGCGAACACTGCCGAGCTGAGTAACGGGCAGCAGAACTCCAGGAGTGCTGCAGGGAGAGGGGACAGATGACGACGAGATGTCCTTCCCCAGCCTCCCGCCCAGTCTGGGTCCAGGCTGTACCCATGGCGTGGTCCCATTCCCCGGGAAAGTAACACGAATTCTGCCACCAGTTTCAGTGGGAAGAGGGCAGACCTCTAGCACGGGCTGAACAATTAAGCGAGGCCTCCTGTGAGATGATGTTGTAAATGCTGGTGCCTAAGTAAGCCAAAGCTGGAGTCAACACCTTCTCCAAAACAAAAATGAAACCACACAAAAGAGTATTATATAAACTCCTCCATGTTAAATATTTTATCGCAATCAACTGTTTGCTCAACTGTTGTGTTTTTATCACATGTGCACATACAGCTCTCCTTGGAGACACCGAGATCTGAGTAAGGCTTAAAAAAAACCCTAGTTCTTTTGGTTGTTGTCATTCTGAATCAAGATACCTATAAAAACATTAGTCCAAGGACTAGAAAACTCTAGATTAGCTAAATCAATCAAGCTTCTGCAACTGGGAGGGGGAGACAAGTAATTCTTGAAGAATCAATTTATTGGCTATTAAAGACATGCTTCAAATTAACTGCATCACAGAATACAGTACCCCATTTATCTCCCTCTGTTCTGTACAATATCGCCAGACTCCTGGTTTCATCTGGGTTACAGACTCCATTAATTCCATCTGTTAAATCATTCCAAACAGCCCCAAAGATTACGGGATTAAAGCGATATCGGAAGTAATCTGAAAACTGAGACAGGGCAGAGGTGCACCAATAAACTATCAAGCCAGTACTTTAAAATAAAGGTATGTTAGTAGATCCTACTGTCAAATAACCAAGTGCCAGAAAACTCACTTTGACAACTCTGAGGCATCCCTAGAGCTGTTTGTAATAAGTGACTTTCAGATCTAACCACCAGTTTTTGTAAGCCTCTTACAGGTAAAATGCATGCCCTCTTTTCAGACATAATTAACGAATTTTCCCCATCTTTGTAAATGCAACATTTTAGATTTGCTACAGTTTTAGTAGTGCATGAACTCGCATTAGCGGATTTGAAAACTAATGGATATAATGGCTGTTGTGTTATTGCATTTAGTTGTTGGAAAACTCATTAATTTAGCAGACCGTTGTGGAAGATCTGCTTCCAGTAGTTCCACATTAACGAAAGTGCAGAGTTTTGGGGTTTGACAGTAAGTTTTTACAACATATTTTAGCCGTGGCTAAAGCTAACGCCTGTCCAATTCCAGGCTAATGGATCAAGTTTGTATCTTATTCAGCACTTCATTATGCACTAAAGCATTCATTCCTAAATTCCACCCCTAGATAGACAAGACAGACAGACAGGTGGATGTCTGTCTGCACTGCCTACCATCACCGTCCTTGGAAGCTGTGAACCAGTGGGGCTCTGTACGCAGAACAGCTCCCAAACGAAGGCATAACTTCATTGGCAAACACGATTATAATTAAAAGGCGGCCCAAAGCAGCCAGTATAGGACACTAATACTCCCCGCAAAGCACAACTGACTCCTCTAGGTTTCAACTGGAACAAAAAATCCCTGACATTTGTATGTATTTGATTTATTCCTGCCCCCCCAAGTGTGTTTAGTGCATGATGTACAATTATAAAGGCACAGGGATAACTGACCTTACCCTCCACCCAGGCACCGAGTACCAAAGATCACTTTACTACCCTATGTTGCTTTTTATCTTCAGGCTTCCCTCTAGCATCTCCATTTTATAACCTCTTTTCCCCCAAAAAAGGGATCGGTCACCCTGGTATCAGATACTAGGCCTGTACACACATACCTAGTTTGAAAACCAGTATCTAGCAGTCTCGGTTCCCATTATGTGTATGTTTTTGGCTTGAATCTTCCCTCTTTTTGCTTTCTTCTAGACTTTCCACTACATCACACAGATTCAGCTAGAAACTTCCCCTTCTAAAATGACGGCTGCTCACTCACTGCTACCTGAACCTGCCAACTTAGATCCAAAAAAAGGCAAACCAGACAGATTCTAGAATATTTCAGTTACTTGTTCACAAGTTACTGGGACTAGGGAAGTAAAACAAAAAAAAACCAAAGGTGATGACACATTTGCATGAGGATTTTTGAAAGCAATTTGATAACCCAGAAGTCCAACCTTGCCATATACAGATTGTCTGCCATGCACATTTGTGTGTCTTAATAACTTCTGAGAAATGTTACTATAAAAAAAAAATCCATAAAAATTCATTTTTCCATTGAAAAATAATTTCTCCATTATGTTTTCACTTGTGCCACTGAACTGACTTTATGAAGCGTATGCTATTGTGGCACTTCACTCTTCAAGACCTCCACTTTTTTTTTTTTCCTTCTATCTAATAGACAAAAGAATTTTGATTAAAAATGTATTTCAAATACCACACCTGAAAGTCCCTTTACTCATTTTAGACTGTACTCTGAGTCCCTCTGAGGGTACCTCGGTGTTTAAATAGGAGATGCATGCAGAATACTTGGATTAAGTGGGAATGTGGTAATACAGTAAATCTCAGCATTAGGGAGAAATTTGTGCAAAAGGAGAGTAAAAATGACAACTTCAAATGAGGTGTAAAAATGAGGTCTTAACTATGCAGTCACTACCGATCCCCTACGATCTGTACAACGAGAGCTGTTGGGTATTTTGCTCTGTGCTGCGTTAAGCAGTTGGCATCTTTTCATCCTTGAGGAGGTGCTTATATTTCAATAGCAGATTAAGTAATTTCTGTGAATCATCACAGGGTTTTTTGTGGGGATTTTTTTTTTTTTAGGGCTTTAGGATCCTTTGGGATAAGAAGCTCTATTATAAAGGCATATTACTGCTTCGAGTAAAGGATGGGTTGCTTTGCATTTGAAGCAGAACCTTAATTGATGCACTGCTGACTTCTTCCGTGAACTTCAATAGTTCATCAATTTTATGCATACAGCAGTCCCAACCAGTTGCTGGTTAATAAAAATTAACCTATATCCAGGTTCTAGGTTTAGTTATGAGGTACATTTTTTTTAAAAGTCCAAATAATGACACCTCTAACGACCAGTTAATTTCTTGCAAAGATGCCGAACACACTACGCAGCGCAAGCATACTGTAAAAAAATAATGCCAGGCTGACACTTCTTGCTACTAAACATTCGCATTAAAGGGGAATTAAGGGTGGCCGGTGCCCTATACTCTTCTTTATTTGTACAAAGAGACTTGTTTTTCATTTTCCCCTCTACTTTTTATTAACTATCAAGTAAATTCAAAGGACTCTCTCCTCCTGAGAGCCTGTATTCCCTTGCAGTGAAGTCCGAGTGCCGAGCTAGCATCCCTGGCACCACAGCCATGGTTGCCTGTCCTCCGAAAAGGGGTCGGGAAAAAGGTTCTGGTGCCACGAAAACCGGGTTGGGAAGCGGCATTAACAAATCAAGATTAAAAAGCACGATTTTCTAGCAAAACACCAAAGTCTAACATGAAGGACTACGGCTTGGGAGAATAGAGCAAAAAAGGTTCATTTCAGTCCGAGCAGAGGAAGTTAGCTCAAATATTGCAAACCTGGGGGGGAGGCGTAGCATTTCTGTTGTAACACGAGGCTTTTTGAACTGTTTTTGCACACAGGCATCATGGTGAGTAAGGAGCCCGGCAAATGCTTACTCACCGCCTCGGAAAGCGAAGTTGAGCCAGCGGCTTCCCTGGCGTTGGAGATGAAATACGCGCTGGATCCCAACCGGCAGATTAAGAAACGCAACAAAGCCCTCCAGGTGAGATTTAAAGATATCTGCGAGGCCCAGAACGAGCAGAGGGACAAGCAGCTGTCCACCACGCAGGATCCCGACAAGAGAGAAGCCAAGGCCCTTTCCTACAAAACCGCTTATCGCAAGTACATGACAGTGCCTGCCCGGAGGTCGATACCCAACGTCACCAAGAGCACAGGAGTTCAGACTTCACCTGATCTTAAAAAGTGTTACCAGACCTTCCCTCTGGACCGAAAAAAAGGGAATATTCTTAAAAGCGCCTCGACTGTCGACACCTTTAAGAGTGAAAACAACGGGTTTCTAATAGACATTAAGGACAAAGACGGCAGCAGCTCAGGGGAGGCCGTTCAGTGGAGCAAGAAGGCCGGCAGCCTGCAGACGGCGGAGTTCATTTCCCACCTCCACGAGCGCGCCAACGCGGGATCCCGCGACAACGGGGCCGAGGCCTGGACACGCAGCGATTTGCACAGCTCTCCCAAAGAGCCGCCTCTTCCTCCTCCTCCTCTCCCAAACTTGGCCGACCCCGCTTCGGAGGAGCCC